TGTCATATACGTCTAAACACAGTGGCTAGACCTCGTCAGTATGACGGCCGCGGTGCTTAACTCCACAGTTAAAACCCCATAACAACTTCGTATATTCTGGGTAAGCTTTGATATTTTTATTAAGTTTCCCTCTTTTTCCTCTGGTCCCTGGGATTGTCACCCTTGCTAAGATTGCTCTAATATGTTATTTTTAATATTCAAAATTTGCATAAATCGCATTTCTCTTCTCCCTCTCTTCCACCTCATCTGTGCTCGATGTGGTAAAAGCGATGACGTTGAGGGAATTATTGGAAGGACACGATGGGTTTGTTAGCCTCAATTTCGGCGGAATTTTCCTTTTTTTTTCCCCCCGTAATCCGGCGACAGCCAACCTGTCGTTCATCGGAACTCCTCACACACTGCTGGTGACTCATTTTTCCCTCAACAAAACACACTGCTGGTTCTCCCGCAATGCTTTATTTTTGCATTGCACAACTAATCCTGTCCTCGAAAAGCGTCCATTCATCTAGAATATGTGGGCAAGAACAAACTCAGCTAGCACCTTGTTTTCCCGCATAGATGAGGGGGTGGGGTAGTTCGTTCTACACTTTACACCTTATTTTCTTGCACGAATGAGGGGACACCTTTATATATCCTACGTTCGAGCCTCATATAGAACGCATAGGATTTTTTTAAATGCCTTTTTTGCATCTGTGCAATGCAAAAGCGCATATTGTTGAGGAGCTGTCTGTGTGTGCGTCTGTACCCATTTTTCATCTCGAAACCCAGGAAAGCTACAAGGCTGAAACTTTGGTAACTTAATCTACACTTATTAGTGGACTTCTGTCCTCAAAATGATCGCTCACGCCTCCTGATATTCGCGTACGAGCACGTGAAAGTCCTGGCGGGAAAATTTTTTACTCGAGAACCAGAAAAACTGAGAGGCTGAAATTTTAAGGGAATTTTCCCCGTCCATTTACAAACTAACGACTTCAAATTCTGTCCCCAGCTGTGTGTGATTCTCACGTGTGGACACGTGAAAGTCTTGGTGGGAAAATTGCTAACTGGAGAACCAGAAAAACTAAAAAGCTGAAATTTTAGAGGGATGTTTTCTCACAGTTTTGGTGGTCAGGCTCAATTCTTTTAGCTAGAAGCATCTGTCGAAAAAAACAGTGCCATTAGCAAGAAAAACCTGAGGGAAACTGTGCAAAAAGCGCATCTTTGTGCCGGCAGTCGTTACGCTGGCCAGTTATTTTAACTGCAGTTGAAGGGGAAATTTTTGGGTGATTTTACTGTCCAGGTTATTTGGATTTTATTCCGAACTACTTCACATTCTCTTCCTTTTTCCCTAATTTCAGCAGATTTTGCGATGTACCGGTATTTCTGTTCTCGCTAATTATTTTTGAAAAACGCCGCTGTACTAGCGGTTTTGTGGAATTTTTATTCTTTGAAACGATGGACTTGTTTTTTTTTTCGTGTATTTTCAATAGAACAATTCCTCAAAAATAGGCTTCAAACTTGTTTTTTTATTTTTTCAGTTTTTCCTCGGAGGCTTAAATTATGGCGTAAAATACGGAATTGCACAATTCCTTATTGTAATAAAAGGCATACTCAAATATCTAGTACATCATTAGCCCATTAATATCACTATAATATTAAACATTTGAATTCACATTATTCCCTTATATTACTTTTATCATTTTAACAACACCACAACTGTTGTGCTGACGAGATTTTTGCACTAAACAGAAATGTGTACAACTCAGTGGGTCGGAACATTCCTGCTCATCTGACTGTTTTTTGATATAGATGTATAAAAATTATTTTTTGGGATATTTTTTAATTTTTTCAGATATTTTTTTAACTCTTTTGAATATTTCTTAATTGTTTTTGATATCGAATATTTTTTTGAATATTTTATTTATATCATTATCAGTATCTGTATGAAACGAAAAATTGTTCCTGTCGTTTTAGTAGCCCAAAGATGACGGTCCGAAAATCCGAGTCCACAACTTTAAGAGTTAGACATGCACTCTGGGCAATGATTCCTACCCTAATTATCTGGAATTTACGTTTTATTTTTCATCATATTGTTTTCTCCAGTATTGGATACCACTGATTTTGGGTGACTAAGAGCACCTTCCAAAGCAGAAGTACGTAACCACGCAGCAAAAAATTGGAAATTGTGCTCTGTTTTCTCGATTAAAGTATACGTGATGCCGTACGTACGGAATCATAAGCTGCATCTGCTAGATGTGAGGCACTGAGGATCGGTGGTGTAATGGTTAACACGTTGTTGAGATTGCTAGGTCTCGAAATTGTATAAAATTTATATTTTTTAGCTGCCTTTTTTGATGAAGCCGGCCAAGTCGAGAGTTCTAATAGTATCTGCTAGCAGTAGAATTTTTTCTAAACTAACGCGCGCTGGTTACTTGAGGTTAACGCACCGAAAATAAAATTAATTTCATGTTGTGGGGCAAAGCGACCTGAGGACGTAAGAGAGCAACTCCTCCGCAACACACATTATGTTTCAAAGGATCTGGAAATAACGTGAAAATGAGGGATTCGATTCTGCCCTCTTCCACTGCTCAGTTTTTGCGGAAGCCTTTTGCAGCTGAGCCTGAAAATTGGCCGTAATATCTTCGAACGGGCAATCTTCGGTTTCGATTTCCGGATTCGTGATTTTTCAGTTTTCTGTTGTTAAAATTTTACCGCATTGTTATGGAACGTTTTTGATAATCCAACCAGGGAAGTGAAAAATCGTTTTGGGGACCGCGATGATTTTTTTTCTACTTCTTCCCCTTCTTCCCCACCCCGCCTTCCCTCCCCTCCCACTCTATTCCAGTTTCTGATCCTGAAAACGAATTTTTCCAATCAGATACGTATCCAAACAAATTGTATGACCCCCAGACATAATGCATTGTTGTTTTTTGTAAAAATTTATCAACATTTAGTGTTTATTGGTGTTTTTTTCATGATAGGCGGGATAATTCGATGTGGACACGCAGGGCGCGTCTTTCGGGTAACCGTTGTTTTGTTTTAGGTGAGACTCATCAGATGCTCAATTTAGGATGCCGATCGTAAATCGGCTCAAAAAGTTCATTCTTGGCTCCTCTTCGTCGAACGACAATAACCAGAGGTCATGCTCGATACCAGGGGCGAAATCGATTCCGGCCGTTGTGAAGATTGAAACGGATGTTTCTGAGTACTGGACACTGGACGAAGTGATTGGCGATGGTGCATTCGGAAGTGTCTATAAAGCGCGCTCGAAACTTGATCCCGGAAAAGTGGCCGCTGCGAAGGTTGGCCTCTCTCTCTGTTTTTCTTTTATCCGTTTTACGCCATACTGGTTATTTGAGAAGCCCAAGTTCTTCACAGTTCGTCCTCTTTTGCAGACGAGGGTACTTTGGCCCAGACTGTCGCGGAAGACCCGCAAAAAGTCGGCAGAAAAGTCTCCCCTAAAAAAAAGAGAAGGAAGGTGTATTAGTTTTGAAAGACAGATACACAGTAGATGTGCTGCCAGGCGGAATCTGGAGCATAGGGACTGGTGGTATAGTGGTAACACATTGCATCCGGACGTGAAGAAGAGTGGTTCAGTTCCTTCCCGGACCAGAGCAGTTTTTGAAAAAGGGCTCTGTTCACGA